TTTTGTGCAGGGTGATAAATATGGATCTATTATCATTTTTCTGCATGTAGACATCAGTTGCACCAGAACCAGCCAGAACAACCCAGATGTCCCTCAGTTGAGGAATGGATACAGAAATTGTGGTACTTTTACACAATGGAATACTGCTCAGCAATTACAAACAAGGAAATCATGAAATGTTCAGGCAAGTGGTGGGACCTAGAAATGATCATCCTGAATGAGGTATCCCAGAAGGAGAAAGACATACATGCTATATACTCACTTACATAGACCTATAAGATAGGATAAATATACTGAAATCTATCCACCTAAAGAAGATAAACAAGAAAGAGAACCTGGCTAAGATGATCAATCCTCACTTAGAAAGACAAATGGGATGGACATTGGAAGAAGGAGAAAACAAGTAACAGGACAGGAGCCTACCACAGAGGGCCTCTGAAAGACTACCTAGCAGTTTATCAAAGCAGATACTAAGACTCATAACCAAACCTTCAGCAGAGTGCAGGGAATCATAAGAAGGGGGAGTTAATATGACCTGGAGAGGATGGGAGCTCAACAAGGACTAAATATATCTGGGCACAGGGGTCTTTTCTGAGACTGACACTCCACCAAGGACCATGTATGGATATAACATATCCATCTAGCCTGTAGTAGCTCAGTATCCAAGTGGGTGTCCTAGTAAGGGGAACAGGGAGTATTTCTGACAGGAACTCAATGGCAGGCTCTTTGACCTCCCCACCCCCAGGGGGAGGAGCAGCCCTGCTAAGCCACAGAAGAGGACTTTGCAGCCAGTCCTGAAGATAGCTGATAAACCAGGGTCAGATGAAAGGGGAGGACCTCCTCCCCTATCAGTGGACTTGGAAAGGGGCAGGGAGGAGATGAGGGAGGGTGGGATTGGGAGGGAATGAGGGAGCAGGATACAGCTGGGATACAAAGTGAATAAACTATAACTAATATTAAAAAAAAATAAAGAATTTAAAATAAAAGAGTATTTTTCTAATAAAAAAGTGACCTCATAAAATAATCAATAAGTGAATAGTCAAATACTCTGGCCTGGAATGTCTTCAAAGTTCTGTTCTCCACACAGTAGTGCAAAAAATACCATAAGAAACAGTAAACAAAAACAACAACAAAAACCTCAGGAGACAACACACAGAGAGGATGTGGAGAAAGGGGAACCCTCCTCTGTTGCTGGTGGGAATGTAAACTTGTACAACCACTGACAGCACTCTTGTTTTACCTTCCCACAGCTAACACTCCAGGGACTTATGGGTCATGCTGATGACCCTGTGAACATGCCCGCCATTGATCCATTGTTTCTCTCATTTTTGCTGCTTTAAATGGGCAATGCCACAAACTCATCTCAAGTGTCACATGAAAGCATCTTTTTCAGCCTTCCTGGGGGGCAGGGGGAGATGTCTCTGTATCTCCTGATATCTCCCTGTGCTGTGACTACCTTTCAGGCTTCCCCTCCTTAAACAACCAATCCATCACAACTGTCTGCTCTGAATCCCTCATCTCCTGCTCCCTCTGACTTTCTCTCTCTTCCTCTTGCTCTCCTTCTCTCTCTCTCTCTCTCTCTCTCTCTCTCTCTCACTCAGACACACACACACACACACACACACACACACACACACAATTTTTCTTTCTTTTTTTCTTTTGTAGTCTAACCTGTCATGGTCAGATCAACACATTGAACAAATTAATGAATTAATTATATGAAGTGGTGGATGTTGCTGTGGTAATTTCTGGAAGTATAATTTGTACGTTTTTCCAGTGAAAATGTTGACGTTGTCAAACATAAAAATGGTGAACTCAGGAGTAATATTTAACACTTAAGGGGAATGAGTACCTGAGACCATCAATTTTACAAAGTCAAAAAAAGCAAAATAATGTTCAGAATATACAAAAATAACTAAATTGAAAACAAACAACTCTATAAAGCATAGGATAAGAAACTGAATATTTCTTAAAATAAAAAATACAAGTGGAAAATAACATTAAAAAAACTGTTCGAGGGGCATAGGAGAAGAAGAGGGAGGGAGAGTAGGATTGGGAGGGGATGGGAGGGGGGCTACAGTTGGGATACAAGGTAAATAAACTGTACCTAAAAATTTTAAATTAAATTAAAAAAATTTGTTCAACACCTTTGCTCGTTAAGAAAATGCAAGTTAAAACCACTTAAATATTCTGCTTCACTGTAATCACAATTGCCACTTTCAGGAAAATAAACGACAAGAAATACTTGTAAGAATATGGATAAGGGGAGATTGCTTATTCACTATTGGTGATAATTTAAACTGGTGCAGCTGCTGTGAAAATCAGTGTGGGTGCTTTGCAAAACACTAAAAATAGATCCACTAAATCTAATAGCATACTCAACTATGCTATTCTTAGGCATATACCCAACGGACCCCAGTTGCTACAACGGAGATTCTTGGACAGCCCTGGATACTTCAAGCAAACAAATTAGCCTAGATGTCCATCAGCTGATGGACAGATAATGAAAATATGGCATATGTACTCAATGGACTTTTATTCATCTGTAAAAGAAGGTGAGATTATAAAAATTGCAGAACTGGAAAATATATGAAGCGATATAGCAGAGGTTCAGGAAATCAAACGCCACATGTTCTCTCTCATACATGGATCGTATTTCCTAATTTTTATATGTGTATTTATGTGGGGGAGTGTACAAAGGCAAGCAAACTACAAAAAAAGGCCCATGAAACAAACAAGCAAACAAAAACAGAAAGGAAATATTAGGTTTTAGAAAAGTTTAAAGACACAGAGTGAGAGAACTAAGAAGAAAAGGAGAAAGGAGGGCCAACTCAATTAAATGTGAGCAAAAAAGCTTACTAAACTTACTAAATTTACTGAAATTAAAAATCCAAAAAAGGGAGTTTGGCTGGAGTTATTTTGAATGGAGAGCTTCAGCTCCTCCTAGAAACCATAGCATATTTAAAGGAAAATGCCAGCCAGAAAAGTTCTTGAGGTCACCCAAACGGTACAGGTTCTTCTTACTGGTCTTGGTTACCCACAAGAACTAGATGGTAAGATCTTATTGCTGAAAATATGGTATGTGTTGGTTACATGACACGGAGAAATCAAGCTGGAACTGAGCAGGAAGCTCCCTCCCTGAAGGCTAGCTTTCATGGTTTCAGAAGATGCTGTGCAGGCTGCTGGAGAAAAATTGTCATCCATAGTCATATTCAGCTGTGAATTTTTTATGATGCAAGAATGATCTGCCGGGCAAGATGTGTCCATTGGTGCACTAGTAATTTTACACTCTGGAGGACACACAACTACTTTATGACTGTATTTCAAGGCCACTTAGAGATGGAAATTCATCTCTGCAATTATAAATCTGGTCAAAACCATGGCTGGAAAGCATATCGTCCTCTGTGGGGAAGCTCCTGTCTTTGTTTTGATAAATGGACGTGACGTGCCTTTCAAATTGTCTTCAAAATATTTATGATTATGCCTGTAGATTAGTAATGCTGTCAACTTTGATCATAAAAGGATCTTTGTTTTTATTTTTTAGTAAGTGGTAGTTAAAACATTATTACAGAAACTCGTAAATGGAGGAAGTGCTGAGGATAAACGATATAACACTTGGCACTAATTAGAACAACTATAGCACCCCTCAAGGCTCATGGAATATTTTCAAAGATGAGACAAAAAGAATGTAAGAGCCAGATAAAAGAGAGGGACTTGTGGTTTGCTCTTTCTGTTATGTCCTAGCTACTGAGCATTTAAATGCTCAGCAGCACTGATGGCCATCCCTCCATAAGTAGGTATAGACAGTTTTTGGACAGAGAGAGAGAGAGAGAGATTCTTTGGTAGTGTGCTTCTGAGATGGCCATATGCTAGTAAACAACCCTTGATTCTGATTCTTCTAAGTGTCTCTAATAAAATTCGTTGAGTAAATTCACCCCTAAAGACATAATAGAATGGGTACTAATTGGAAGAAGAAAGGGGTCACCAGGAATAAGAAGAGGTTAAAGGAGAATAACAGGGGGTAAAGATTTCTATAGTGCCTTATGTACTTGTGTGAAAATGTCACTGTAAAACACTAATGTTAATACATTATAATGGTAAGACAAATGGAACAATTAAAAAATAAACAATTCATAAAGAATAGGTTAGAAGGACCAGTAAAATAAAGCAATCAAGGGAGCTAGATTCTTATGCTTAAAAAGTCTCTGAGAAGTCAGAGGCTCTCTTCCCTATAGCAACTAAGCTTATTTTGACATTTGGTGCAGATTTCTTAGACTAGGACATTATCCAAGCCTGAAGTAATGGACTAACTATTTTAATACTAATTGTGTCAATATTTACTTTTATTGATTGCCCATTTGATGCATTTAAGGATGAACATCTAGACCATTGTCTTTACATGCCATGAACTCATGGAAGTATTTATTTGTACACGAGCTGTACAGGAAAGATCAATCAGCGTTTAATCATGGATATGGAATGGAATGGGATGGGATTATTGGGCCCTGACTCTCCTGATTAGCTTTTGGAAGTTAATGGTTGTTGAAGGTGGGTTAGTCATTTTGTCCAGCAGTATACCCACTGGTAAGATGCCCTTGATCTGATAAATGAACCTCTACAATGTATATTCAGTCAACTATATTTCAATTCACTGGGTAACAAAAATTAATAAGTAAAAACTGTAAAGTAAAAGTGAGCTTAGCTGGGAAGAAAGTGTCCTTTGGGAACTGGTGTGGGGAAAGAGAGTAAATAGGGTACAAGGCTGGCCAAAATACGTTATATGAAATAGTTAAATAATTTAAAAATATATATTAAAAGTCATGGTAAGTATGACTTCTTCCAACAGGTACTTGAATAATCAAAATAAAGTTTCTGTGCTAAAATTATTACCACATTGTAGATATTAGAATTAAAATAATGTTACTGTCTAAATTACTGCGATAGAACTTAAGAAAATAACAGTTCAGATCCAAAAAATATAAATAAACCTTAAAAGTTACCCTTTTTCTGGGTGCACAGCGATAGATCTTGGTTGATCCAGACCTTGGGAAATAATTACATAACGGAAAGAGCCGTTGAGTCTCGCAACTTCAATTAAATTGAAACCATGATCTGTCCAATATATGTTGCCTGGGAGAAATACAAAAATGTCCACAATCAAGTTAGGAGTAACAGAATTGCCTATCAATTACTCTTCGAGTTAAATTCCTGAGTCACATAGCTAAAAGTTTGTGTATTTCAGTCTTTTGTATTTGAAAAACAGCTATAATTAAGCTAATTCATATAGAATTTCAATGCCAATCTCATATTTTTCTGGTTTAAGCTGTATAGTTGTATACTGACACATTCGTAATAATTTGAAACTTCTCCCAACTGTTCAAAGTATGTGTTTTAACTTTATACTGACACTAAGCTAAAAGAAATTTCTTGTGCTTTGTTTACGATGTGGAGCTCTCTGGAGAATTGAGCAGAGATAACAATACACTTTCTACAACTACATAGAAACACTTATCCAAAGGCAGTAGAAAGAGCCAAACTAAATGCAAAAGAGATTTTTCACCCCCTTGGCTAGAAGAATTTTTAAAATGTTCAAAACAAGAACCAGAAACTTTCAGAAGAAGAATGAACCCCCTAGGAAAAAAAAAAAACTGTGGAATTAAAATAAGATTAAGACATAGATTTTACCAGCAATCCAGTCAATAGCTATTCCTTCCACTCTCCCCAAGCCATTGGTAACAATGTCTTCTTTCCAAGTCTGGTCTCTTTTAGCTCTGCTGATTTTATTAAGGCCCATGTCTGTCCAATAGATGGTGTCATTTTCTATTGATAAATACAAAAAAAAATACATCCATATAGAGACTATTAAATGCATTGATGTACATATAAGGATTGCAGGAGAATCAGCATTGAGGGATTATCCTGGATAGAATATAGTAGATTGTAAAACATTCCTTAGGATAGTTCACCAATATAAATAGTAGTAAGTAAACTATAAAATCAATGAAATTAGGTTTCAGAATTTAAATTTTAAAGGTACCTTTATAAAAATTCTTTGTTACATTTTCTATATTGTTGTATTCATTTTAGCTCAATGTTTTAGGGTTTTTCTATTACTGTGACAAAACACCATGACAAAAAGCAAGTTGAGGAGGAAAGGGTTTATTTGGCTTACACTCTCAGACCACAAGCCACCAGTAAAGGAAGTCAGGACAGGATCTCAAGTAGGGCTGGAACCTGGATTCAGGAGTTGGTGCAGAAGCCATGGAGGGTGCTACTCTGGCTCGTTTCTGGTTTGTTCAGCCCACTTTCTTATAATACCAAGGACTACCAGTCCAGGGATGGCACCACCCACCTGGGGCTGGGCCCTCACCCATTAATCACTAATCGAGAAAATGCCCTACAGCTGGATCTCATGGAGGCATTTTTTTCAACTGAAGCTTCTTCCTTACTTATGCCTCTAGCTTGTGTTAAGTGACACACAAAACCAGCCAGTATACTCAGTAAGTCTCTGTTCTCATGAAATTTTGCTGAACTATGTCTTTTTCTTCTATTTTTGCTTGTTTCCTACTTGCTGCTGAGTACTCCTGAGGATAATCAGCTGAAGAAAGCCTCCAAGCACAGAGACAACAGAGAGGCATATAAAATTGTTTCAATTGTTTCGAGGATATTTTAAGCATTCAGTCATTCTATATATGTAAATATTGAAATCATCACATCAATTTTTCTTTCTGAATATGAAATAGCATCTCAAATGTAAACAATTCTCTTATGTCTCACATTCTTTTTATGTAAATAAATTTCAGAATACTTGAAAATTGCTTCATGCTACCACCAACTCTTTAAATAACTGACCTTTTTGAAGGAAAACTGTGCCTAAACATTATGAATGAAATATATTACATACATATGCAAATGTATGAATGGTAGTGATTATAGGCAAATGATTTTCTACACAGCTTGGAGAAAGACACTGGGGACAAATCACTAAATAATAAATTTGCCACCAGCTAAGGTTTTGTGTTGTGGCTAATTTGGACATTTGAAGAACAAATTCTTTAAGAACAATACAATTTACTTTGGCACACTGACAAACTATGGAAATAAAAGACAATGCAATTAATATAGCAAAGCCATTTGTTAGCAATTTCTAGGATTTCATCTCAAATGAAATATAGCTTCAGTTCTTAGAGCAGAGTTGGGAGTGATATCAAACAACACTGCTATCAAAAACGGTTACGTCTGGGATATGATGCTTTGAAGCCAAGCAGAAGGCAATGTACACACGTAATTATTAGGAAAGCAAGGTCTTTTCTGATCTGCTTGTCAATTTAAACATTTTCACCATTGAAACGGGGAATTTTAAAGTCTTAACAAAAACTATTTTACTTTTTATAAATGTTAAGTGATATATAGTGAGTTCCATGTTTGCTTCAAGTACTAAGTTCTATGAAACAGGCAGACATTGTTAAACTTTCTACTTTGCTTCTACATCGGATTTAATTAAGACAAGATACAAGACTGTCCTACAGTCTTCCTGAAAGTACCTTCCACAGTGATGATGAACATTACTTCAGGCCTTAGGGTTGTCTTTGATCATTTTTTTTCTCATGTTCTATATCCAGTTACTTGTCCAACTGTGCAAATATTTAATCCAATTCCAACAAACCACTGTTCTCTTTAATTTTCTTTCAAAAGATAGCTCCCATTCATTAATAGCCCATTCCTTCTACCCTGACATTCAAAGTCTCTACCTCATACTTGGAGTTTCCAGTAACTCCTTACTGGCTTCACTTTAACTCCTAAACTTTCCCTTGGAAGAGTCTTTTTCAATTTAAGAATACATATTTAAAGGGCAAGTAAGACTGCACTTGCCTCCTTTCCTTCAAAATTCCTCATGTTATACCTGTGCATCATGAAAATAGAGTTCCTTGCCATTAATTTAATGACCCACGCAAAACGTTTATACCTCTCCATCCTGATATCTTTCCACTCTCTCTCTCTCTCCTTCCACCTTCTCTAGTAACAAAGACTTTCCTGCTCTAAAGACAAACTGATTTCTCTTCAGTTGCAAGTTTTTTATTTTACCTTTCCTTTTAGTCTGGAATGTTCTTTTCTTAGAATATTCTTTATTCTTTTCATAGATCTTTTTCAAACTCAAATATTCCCTTCTTAATAAAATTTTCTTGACTATCCTATAAAAATATTTTCTTGACATATTTTTTCTCCCTCACTAATTTTGTTCTCCTGTATAACACCCATTCTTATTAAAGACATTTATTAATCCTTTTCTGGTCCGTAAGTGTTGATAAGTGGGTACTCATGCCATTTCATGACATGTACCTTCCATAAAACTTGTTATAATAACTGCACATAAAAACACATTTATTGATTTGTTTATATCTATCTTGTCTTACAGTGTTGTATGTTTTTAAAGTTTGGAATCTTATTTTATTCCCTGCTTTGTTCCTAGAAGTTAGGACAGGCCCAGCAGATACCAACTTCACAGTTAACATTTGGAGAATCCAAAAGTGAATATAAAACACTGTATAAAACTTGTAGGAATGTAGCACAAGAAGGAGTTTATAAATGTGGTAAAAATACAGAAGAAATGATTGACAATAAATAAGAATGTAAGATGAACAGCTGTAAGCTTTAAAGACACCCACTAAGCAGGAACTTAAATAAAACCACATCAATATTCCCAGTGCATTACTTTTCAAGTATTCTGCAAGCTATGAAGATGTCCATTCTCTGTTAACAGCAAGCATGACCCTACAATCTAATCTTCTGCAAACTAGAATCTTGAAGGTTATAGTTCCTGCCTCTGTCTGTTAACCTATACCCAGAAAGTTTTCAGCCTCCAACACTTACTGCTGAATAAGCTCTCCCTTTCGGGTTCTTTCTGAACTTTGGCTAGATGGTTCAATTACCCTGTTTTGGTTCAAAACTTTTCTCTAAACTGACTGATTCAAACTGGCTTTTCTCCACTTGTGACTGAATTGCTCTGCTTGGAAAACTTGCCTCTGAACTCTACTAACTAAACTGCATGAACTCAACTACACTGAACTGCACCAACCTGTACTTTACTTCCAAACTCCACTGGACTATTTCTATGAACCCACTCTCTCTCTCTCTCTCTCTCTCTCTCTCTCTCTCTCTGTCTCTCTGTCTCTGTCTTTCTCTCTCTGCTGCTGCTACTCTTAAGTAGCTTCTCTTTCCTGTCTGTTCTCATGAGAGTTGGGCATATCTTATCTCTGACTTCTGTCAAATCATTATTTGATTTGTCACCTTCTCTGCCCTCAATTAGATATGGTTGTTTGGGATTAAATGTATGTACTTAGGGTATGTCCAGCTGGATCACACAGACCTAGGTCTTTGGATGTGATCTATTGCCAGAGCAACCATGTTGCTGGATTAAAATTCCTCTACAACATCTTCATACTACTTATTGTTTAACATATATTTTTGCAGATAATTTGAATAATGGCACCTGCTTTTTTCCTAGTTCCATTTATTTGATATGCATTTTACCATAGTTTCATACAAATCTACATGGATTTGGAAACTCTCACCATGAACTTCATTGTACAAAGAAGACAAAAATAAGAAACCCCTGATGGAAACAGAGGAATTGAGTTTATGAACTCAGCTAAATAAAATAATATGTTTCAGCACTTTTACATAGAGACATCCTTAAATAATTCTTTAAGCTTCATATCTAGCTCATGTCTGTTAAAGATACATACAAAGACTGTAAAAATTATCACCAAAATCTATTACTAAGGAGTAGCATTTTATTCAAATTTATAAAATTTCCTTAGTTAATAAGAAAGCTGTGCATAAATATGTTCACTTTCTTGATAAATTTCAGATTTTATTCCCATAAGACATTGTATATATGATAGTTAAAGTACTTTTTATTTTTTATGAAGAAATTTATAAGAATTTTTAAAGGTTGTTGGACTTTTAACAGTTTGTTACATGTTTTAGCAGTTCACTGCTCATGGAGCACAAGGAAGCTCAAGCTCAACCTTCAAAGACCAGTTCTATGCATTTTGATTGTTGACATCAGAAAAATATTGTATCCATTGGTCTTCTGTCTTGTAGCCATCGACTTTCACTCTGGTTTTAATTATTTTCTAACGCCTTCAGGTGACCTTGTACCAGATAACTTTTCATTTTGTGGTCAGAAATATGCACATTTTCAATAATTTGTCTTGTCATTCATTACCAGTGACCTTAACAGACAAGCCAAGACATATAATTGTTGCCACGTTTATGAAGGCTGCCTTAAGGCCATAGAATTCATTACTTCTTCTGGCTTATCTAAGATAACAGTTTGCAGTCTGTTTCTCATTTATGACATTGACAGATATGACAGTTATTTCTAGTGCAAGCACCTTCTCCTACACTTTCAAAATTACCTTTTCTATATGGTTTTAGAATTAAAGAAAAAGTTCTCGTGCCATTTCTATATTCTTTCATCATTATGATTCTCAGCTTAATGTTCCTGTTAAATCATTTTGACCTTGAAACTCTTGACTTTAATTGATTTGGACTTTACTACCAAACAGATACACACAGGATCATTCACACAAACATGAAATACACACTCAAATGATTTCATGTATGTAAGTGTGGGATCGGGAGGTTTTTTTTAAGACATACAAGTTAAAGATTAGACTCTGGATCCTTATTCTACAAGGGCAATTGTCACACCCTCCACCAGCTTCTCAGTGGTTCTGTCCTGTGGAGCCTAGGTGAAACACCATGTCTCTGGATCCTCTCTCTTCTTCCTCCCACCTCTGCTTACTGTCCCT